CATTTCCCTGATCCCAACTCTGCCTCCCCGTTACCCCCAGTCCTCACCGTCGCAGCCCCTCCGAACGTCCCCCACGCGCCGCAGGGCGTCCCCGAGCAGGTCGGGCAGTCGCCCATTGAGGTCCAGCGAGGCCAAACAGCCCCGGAAGCCCCCGCGGGAGGCCACGAGCCGCGGGAGCCGCCCCAGGAGCCCCGGGCTGACCCCCCCGACATACAGCTCACCTGGGGAGACACGGGGGGGTGGTCACCCGGGGGAGACACGGACCCCCCCCTGCACACCCCGAGAGCCCCGGGCTGACCCATGGGGGACACACTGCAGGGAGACCCCTCCCCTGCACCCCACCGGCCCCCCAGGGTACCTCTGCCCTCGGGGGCGCAGGGGGGTCACCCATGGGGGCTCAGGGCTTTACACCCTCCCCACGTGCCCCTGCCGAGGGTGACCCCACTGCGGTGACCCCCTCCACCCCAGGTGATCCCTGTAGAAGCTCCCCCATCGGTGCTCCCCCGTCCATCCCCCCGCGCCGTGGGTACCCCCGCACTTAACCCCCGCTCCAGGCGCCCCCCGCGATGCCTCCCCGGGTGCCCCCCGGCACTCACCCTTGAGCTGGAGGCCGCGGGCCCCCTGTCCGTGCTGGGTCACGGGCCGCCCGTCCACGCGCAGTCCGTGCAGGGCCCCTCCCTCCCGAGCCACGGCCACCTCGTGCCAGCGTCCGTCGTGCAGCGGCTGCTCCGAGTTGCCCTTCATGAGCGAAGGGCCCTCGCCCAGGTCGAACACGTAGTGGATGTACCTGTGCGGGGGGCGGGGCCTCAGACGGGGCGTGGTCCGGGCGGGGGGAGGGGCCTGGACCCAGGGGATTCCCTCGAGGGGACACCCCCCCTCCAAAAGGTCAATCACACAGGGCGTGCTACTGGGGCAGGGGGCGTGGCCATGGAATGGGGCGTGGTCTGGGAGGGGCAGGGCTTAATCAAAAAACGGGGATGGGGCTGAGGTGAGAGGAGCCCCCTCCCCAAATCAAACTGTGACTCTGACTGGGGGCGCGGTCTCGACCTGGGTGTGGTCATTGTGGGGGCATGGTGTGTGCCGAGAGGGCGGGGCCTAAGGCTGGTTGGGCACTTGGGGTGGGGAGTCCCTGGGGGCTCAGGGGGTCAAGGGGTCCCACAGTTCGATGAGGCTGAGGAGGTCCCTGAGGTTCCCAGGTGGTCCCCGAGGTCCCCAGGACCCTCCTGGTGTTCTGAGTGGTCTCTGAGCTCCCGAGGGGCTTCAGGAGGTCACCAAGGTCTCCAGGACCTCACTGGTGCCCCCAAGGTCTGGGGAAGTCCCTGAGATCCCCAGAAGGGTTATGGGATCCCTGGTGTTCCCCAGGTGGTACCAAAGGACCCTGAGGCCCCCCCAGAGTCCCCCCGGAGCCCTCCAGTGTCCCCTCACCCCTTGACGAGCTCGACGACGAGGAAGTCGGAGCCGCTGCCGCCGTTGAAGAGGATGAGCCCGTCGGGCGCCGTGGTCTTGAACTGGAAGAAGAGGTGGAAGGAGGCGAAAGCCTGGAGCGTGGCCAGCGCCACGTACGAGCCACGGCCCCCGAAGGCCACGGGGTCGGCCACGATGGCGCGGCGGCCGAAGCGCGCGTTGAGCTCGCAGGAGCTGATGTCGCCGTCCCGGCACAGGTCCAGGTAGGGCAGCCCATTGAACACCAGTCCGCTCAGGTGGCCCAGGAAGTTGGACGGGACCACGGCCAGGAAGCGCCGCTCGGTCACGATGCCCGTCTCGATGTTGTGGAACTCCAGGCGGGTGTGCGAGCCCGACAGCTGCCCTGCGGGAACCAGGGGGCGCGGGGGGCGGTCACCGGGCACCCAAGGACCCGCTGAGCTGCGGTCCCATGTGCCACAGCCCCGTGTCCTCGTGCACCCCATGGACCTCCACCCCGGGCGCCACATCCCCACGGACCTGGTGACCTCGTCCCCGTGCACCCCCATTCCCCAAATGGGACCTGTGCACCCATCGCCACCCAGCCCCACAGACCTTCACCCACGCCCCCGTGGACCTGCAGCCCCACTGGCCACGTCCCCATTGACCTGGTCACCCATTGCCTCGTGCCCCCACAGACCTTCGTCCGTGTCCCCGTGGACCTGCCACCACACACCGCGTCCCTGTGGACTTGAGCAACTGTGTCCCCGCTGACCTGGCCACGTCACCCCCGCGCCTCCACGTCCCCAGGGATCTGTGCACTCATCTCCTCGTGTCGCCACGGACCTTCGTCCATGTCCCCACGGGCCCCGTGGCCTGAGCAGCCCCTGTCCCCACGTCCCACCGTCCCCGTCTGCCCGCGCCGTCCCCGCGGTGTCACCTTCGACGGTGACGTTGTCGACGGCGAGCTGGAGGCTGCGCCCGCGCCGGGCCACGCGCACCGAGTGCCACTCGTTGTCGTCCAGCCGCTGCCCCGCAAACAGCGTCTCGGGGCCCTTGCCTGGGGGCAGCGGGGACACGGGCACCGGGTGACACCGGGACACCGGGGACACCAGAGACACTGGGGGGCACTGGGACACTGGGGACACCGGGACATCGACACACCGGGGAACATCAGGGGGGCATCACTGTACTGGGGACACTGGGACACCAGTGACACTGGGGACACCAAGGGACACTGCTGTGCTGGTGACTCCACAGCACCCGGTGACAACGGGTGACACCGTGACACCAGTGACATCGTGACACCGGGTGACACCAGTGACATCATGACACTGGGTGACACCAGGTGACTCGACACTGAGCAGCACCAGGTGATGCCACAGCTCCCAGTGACACCAGGGGACACTGGGGACACCGGGAACACCAGGTGAACATGCACAGCCAGGTGACAACACCCACACCTGCAAACACCCCCTGCACACACAGGTGAGCACACACACAAACACCACACATGGACCCCGTGCACGTGTGTGGCACACACCTGAACACACCTGAACACACCTGGCACACCCCCTCCACACACGTGCATATCCCTAAAACACACCTCCTGCACACAGATGTGCACATCCCTGAACACACACACGTGCACACACGCGTGCACACACCTGAACACACACACACATGTACACATACCTGGACACACACACACGTGCACACACACACGTGCACACCCCTAAACACCCCCCCCCTCTTGTCCACACACACCTGTCACACACATGGGGGGTTGACCCAGACACTCAAGGGGGGGTTGGGGGAGGTTTTTTGGGGGTCTGTGGTCCCCGGGGTGGGTTTCGGGTGCTCCAGAAAGGTTGAGGGGGTCAGGGGGTGTCCCGGGATTTCAGGGGGTTGTTCCAGTGGGGTGTCCTGGGGAGGTGTCCGGGGGGGTTTTGGGGGGTCGGGTGGGTCTCCCCGGGGGCTCTGGGGTGTCCCGGGGGCAGGGGTGGCACTTACTGGGGTGACAGCCCACGCGGACACAGTCTGGGAAGAGAAGACACGGGTCAGGTCCTTCGCTGCCGCCGCCAGGGGCGCCCCGGGGACGGGGGGGGGCGGCCGGGGGGGGGCGAGGTGCCAGTGGGGGGCACTGGGAGGGCCTGGGTGGGGTGGGATGAGGACTGGACTGGGACTGGGATGAGAACTGTGATGGGGATGGGACTGAGAATGGAACTGGAATTGGACTGGGATGGCGAGTGGACTGGGACTGGTCTGGAATTCAGATGGAGACTGGGATGGGATGGGGACTAGGATTGGGATGGAGAGCAGGATTGGACTGGGATAGACCAGGACTGGGATGGAATTGGGATGGGACTGGGCTGGGATTAGGCCAGCAGCCAGTCTGGGAGGGACTGGGGGGTCTCTGGCACCTCTTGGGGGATCACGGCCGCCCTGAGGGCCCAGCCTGGGGGATCCTGGGGATCTGGGAAGATCCACGGGGATCCAGTACCCAGGACTGGGCCCCCCCTCGTCAACCGCTGCGGGGCGGGGGGGGCAAACGCCAGGACCCAGGGGGTCCCCAATGCCATGGGGGAGGCACCAATCCCATGGGGGGGTCCCCAATTCCATGGGGGGGTTCCCCACCCCATAGAGGACCTGCAGCCCCATGGGGGTCCCCCCCAGTGGAAGGGGCAGAAGGGGAGATCCCCAACCCTGGGGGGGACCCCAATCTCTTGGGGGGACCCTCAACCCCTCGGGGGGTCCCAGCGCTGTGCCCCAAGTGGCAGCGAGGGGGTCACGAAGGCCCCAAACCCGGGGAGGGGGGAGGGGACCCGACGGGACTCGACGGGGACGAGGGTGACGAGTCGGCTCCCTTAATTCCCCCTCAGCCTGGCTGGGAGTCCCAGGTGTGATTCTGGGGTGCTTGGGCACCATTTTTGGGACCTGGGCACCATTCAAGGTGCCCACTGGGGGACATTTTGGGGCCCCAGGCATCGACTTGAACATTTTGGGGCCACAAGAACCAACTCAGGCACCATTTGGGAAACACTTTTGGGACCTGGGCACCATTTTGGGGGTCCCAGACACGACCCTGATCATTTCAGGGTTAAGAGAACAGATTCAGGGATCATTCTGGGGTTTTTAACATCGTTTTGGGGTCCCAGGCCCCAACTTGATTGTTTTGGAGCCATGAGCACTGAACTGGGCAATGTTTTGGGGATGTTTGGGTGTCCCAGGAACCAACTTGACCATTTTTGGGGTTGTGAGAACTGATTTTGGCACCAAGTCCTGAACTGGGGTCCCAGGCACTATTTTGGCCGTTTCGGGGTGACAAGAACCGACTCGGGCCCCATTTGGGATGATTTCAGGGAGGTTTTCAGGGAGGGTTTTGGGGTTGGACCATACTGGGGGCGTTTGGGGGGGTCCCGGGGGGCTCACCCAGGTTGAGGGTGAGCTTCATGCGCCCCCCGTCCAGCTCGAGGCGCAGGGTGTCGGCCGAGTGGCGCGAGGTGGTGGCCAGGACGAGGCCGAAGGCGCGGGGGGACATGAAGCGCAGGGACACGTCCTCGGCTTCCGTCTGCTCCCCCGGCACCTGCACCTTCAGGTACATGCTGCCATCGTAGCTCAGCACCGCGGCCTCTGCAGGGACAGGGGAACCCCCATCACCCCTGGCACCGGGACCCCCGGCACAGGGACCCCCACGTCCAGGTGACCCCGGTGACCCCCAGAGTGCTGCCATCACAGCTCAGCACTGCGGCCTCGGGGGGGGGGCAGAGAGGGGGGACCCTGGCACTGGATATGTGGGGACCTGGGGGGACCCCCTTGGTCTGGGGACCCTCATCTCGAGGTGTCGGGGGGACCCAAGTGTTCAGGGGGGTCCCAGGCACCCCAGGGTGACCCCTCCACCTTGGGGGACCCCTGATGCCCTCGTCCCCCCCTCACCTGTCTCGCAGCGCGGCCCCAGGTAGCCGGTGCCACGTGTCCCCCCCTCACCTGTCTCGCAGCGCGGCCCCAGGTAGCCGGTGCCGCGGCAGTCGCACACGAAGCGGTTCCAGCCCTCGCGACAGGTCCCTCCGTTGCGACAGGGCCCGCTCGCGCACAGCCGGGGGGGGTCTCGCGCGCACAGCGGGACGACCCCCGGGGCCCCCCCGGGCCCCAGCAGCGCCCGCACGTCGCGGCTTCGCCCGTCCACGAACAGGTCCCGCACGCAGCCCACGAAGCCGAGGCGCAGCCCCGCGGCCCAGAGCTCGGGGGGCGCGGGGGGGCCGGGCCGGCCCTCGGGGAGCCCCCCCAGGTACAGCTCTGCGCCCACGTCCAGCACGTCGCGGTCCCCGCTGGCCAGGAACGGGGTGCTGCGGCTGTTCACGGACACCGAGCCTGGGGGGACGTGCGGGGGTCAATATTGGGGTATGGGGGGGTACGGGGCGTGATCCAGCTGTTCATGGACACCGAGCCCAGGGGAAAGGGGGGGAAACGCAGAGGGATATTGGGGTGCACCAGGTGCACGACAAAGGGAGGGATAAAGGAGACACCTCTCAAGTGCACAACCCCCCGCACACCTGGGACCTGCACCTCTACAGCCCCCACACCCCCAAACCCACAGAGCTGTGACCCCTCCTTGGACACCACCCCTCACACCTGTGCAGACCCTCCCTGGGCACCTCCCCGGGCACCCACCTGTCGTCATACGCCCATCCTTGCCCCTCGCTCCCCCCTGAGCCCCCCTCATTCCCACCCCTGACTCCCCCCTCAGCCCCCGGCCCCTCACCCTTGCGCCCGTCGCGCTGCACGTCCACGTGGCACCACTCTCCGTCCGTGACCTTGCGGGCGCTGGCGCGGAGCCGCAGCCCCGCCGCGCCCATGCCCAGCAGCAGGTACAGGTGCCCGTCCAGCAGCTCCAGCGCCAGAAAGTCAGGGGGCGGCGGGGGCGGCCCCCGGGGGGCGGCGGGGGGGTCGCGGGCGGGGCCCTGCCCGAAAAGCAGGACCCCGTTGGGCTCCGTGGTGCGGAAGTCGAAGGACACGGAGCCGGCGCGGGCCGGGGGCCAGGTGGGCAGTGCCAGGTGCGCCTGGGGGGTGGCGAAGGTGACAGGGTCCAGCGCTGGAGGGGGGTCACAGTGGAACAGCAGCGCCCCGTGCAGCGTCACCCGCGCGTCCCCCTCCTGCGCCAGCCGCGACAGCTCCAGCTTGAAGTCGTTGTTCTTGTACACAACCTGCGGGGGGGAACGGGAGGGACAGGTGAGTGGGGGGGCCAGGGAGGTCCCCAACATCCCACTGTACCCCAAGCACCTGTACACCTGAGCCCCACCGTGTGCCCCCAGACTCACGTCCTTGAGGCAGCCCATGAAGTTGTTGCTGACGGGGGACCCCGGCAGGTCAGCGGTGTTGGGGGACCCCCCCACGTAGAAAAAGTCATCAGAGCCCAGCATGGTGAAATCCTCCTGCGTGTAGCCCGTGGTGGTCAGGATCCCGTCCACCGAGATCGTCACCTGCGGCACGAGCGGCGCGGCCTCAGCGGGGACCCCCCGGATGGCCGGGGCACCCCAAAACGGGGGGGTGGGAAGGGGGTTGGGGGGAAAAGGGTGACGGGGAGATGGGAGCAGGGGGTGATGGGGAGCAATGGGGATGTGGGGGACCATGGAGG